TCACACACTGTTCCCCACTGACCTCTATGATGAACCTCCACTGTCCCACTGCAGGGACTGTTTCCATTAACCAACCGCACATTTATTATTTCTGTGCACAGTAAGGAAAAAAAAGTTGGAAGAGAACTATCAAAATTAAATAAATATTTCCAGTTGAAACGGTCAACACATACCTGTACACACCAGTCCAACATCATTGTCATGAGAACAATTGTTTTCATGTGATTGTGATGTTGGACAGAGGTGAATCTGAGACTCATTTCCTCTGCACTGAATCTCTTGTGTCCACATCTGAGCGTCTCCTTTGCCAAAAGCAGCTGCTCCCAGCACCTGTACAGGAGCCCCACAGTCCAGCTCTCTACACACAACCTCTGCATCCTGCTGGTCAAAGGCTGCGTCACACACTGACATCCACGTCTGATCATGAAGTATCTCTAACCTCCCAGAGCAGCGAGAACCACCAACCAACCTGACTTCTAAATAAAACAATACAAATGTGCAAAGTAAACAACAACAAACAAACAAATCTTCATTTACAGATACTCAAGATAGTGATAACTGATAAATGTAAAAACATTTAAAAAATAAAATAGAAAATTATAAACCAGTATGTAAGCGCAAAAGTTTTACACAGATATTACTTAGAGTATACAGTACTTTACCTGAGCAGATGACTCCAGCATCTTTATTGTGATCACAGTTGTGTCTATCCCATCCTCCTGACCCACAGTTCTTTAGTGTGGATTCTGATCCCCAACACATGACAAAATTGATCCAGATTTGTCCTGAACCTGGTCCAAATTGAGCACCACGCAGAGCATCTACAGGTTCTCCACAGTCCAGCTCTCTACACACCACTGCAGCATCAGGCAAATCCCAGTCATCATCACACACTGTTCCCCACTGACCTCTATGAAGAACCTCCACTCTACCAGCACAGCGACTGTGACCACCAACCAACCTCACATTCACACTGTCTGTATATTGAGCTGAAGCAATGACAAAAAGATGATGGGATTAGAATAAGGGTGGGAGAGAAAGAGAAAAATTTATGCATATGGTTACATATGGTTACTAGTGGGGCAACTAGACAAATGGAACACCTAAGCTTTTAAATTTAATATTTCTTCCTTTTTTCCCTCTCTGTATCATGCAGTGTATCTATAAGCTTTAAGCTCTTTATCTATAAGCGTTTATCTCAATTAAGCACAAATCAAGATAGGAAAATAAATAAATAATAAAATAAAATTATATTTTTAATTAAAATTAAATTCTTTGGTATTCTATAAATAACATATAAACATGATTAAGCATTATTATTATTATTATTATTATTATTATTATTATCTGAGACACCCCATTAATTGCTTAAAATTACAAGCTTGACTCTGAGATAACATCTGAAAATAACTTCATCTGTTTAATTCCTTGTGTACTTACCAGCTGTGATGAGTATTACAACTGCAGACAGTAAAATGAGTATCAGGCATCTTCTCATCGTCCTCAGCATGATTAACTCAACATCCAGTTCAAGCTTCTCCGCACTGATGATACAGAAGCACAGGCATCCTCTCAGCCTCCTTAATGAGAGAGAAAGAGTCCCAACACCCTCCAATCACACTCGCTATTACCTTATTAGACACAACAGAGGAAATCATCAAACAACTTCAGTGACAAATCAGAGGACGCGTTTCTGATTTTCTCCATATACACCAAAACTGTCAACGCTGATGAACTCCACCTCCCCATACATCAAGGCGCCTGACTGAGGGGAAGTACACACACAGATATATATATATATATATGTGTATGTATGTATGTATGTATGTATATATATATATATATATATATATATATAAGACTTACAGGAGAAAGGAAACTCTCCAGTTTATTTACAGCATCAAAGCCAAACACCTGCAGAGATGCGATAAAATCACTGATAACTAATGTCATATGTCCTAAAAATGTCTATTAGTGTAAACGTCAATTAGTGCCTGTTAGCATGACATTAATACATAATAAACTCAACTCTGTAAAATTTATAATATTGTAAAATGGTTTAATGGTAAAAAGTTTAAATGTTTAGCTTAAAATTTTAAGTAAAAATAATCCTGTGACTAACGAGAAATTTCACCATATATAGGCTACTGTATCAATAGAACACCAGTGCTGAAAATGACTCCTCTTCAATCATATATAAAGACACTTCAGTGAGGATGTGCGCGCGGGGCATAAAATAGTCACACCAGGGGCATAAAATAGTCACACATCATTCAGGAGACTTGAAAGGTTTCAGAGAGAGGAAGCACTCCAGGATATTTACAGCATCAACCCCTGCTGAGATACAGAAACTGATAACTGCTCACTTCAAACTTATCATATGATTTTCTTCTTACAAGAAATAAAGAAAAATTCTTAAAAAATTGTTACACCACGCAAATAACATCATTTAAACAACATGACTGGTAAACAAGTATCTCATTCCATTTTCTCAATTTATAGAATTCAATCATTATGCTCAACCATTTAAAACCTGTTAACCAGATAATTATATATATTTAAAATATAATTTAGAGGAATGCTTATCTTTATAAATAATTACAAAATATAATTTCCAAACTGTTACCCATTCAAGTAGTAGTAGTATATAAATTGTTCATTCAATTTTAAAGATTATTTATATAAAAATGGCAAACATCACACAAATCAATGTCTAATTGTAAATAAAACACTTTCATTCACTATAGCAGCTTGTGCGTTGAATGTGGCAATACACTACTCAACCACAAGATGGAAGCAAAACGCTATTTACGGGTGCGCGCGGTCCTATGCACTCGGTCACCCTTTTCCCCCCACTAGTGACGCCCCTGGATGGAAACAAAAAACTTTTTGCTTATAAGGGTCTTGTCCTTGTGTTACGACAGAAGCGTGCCTGTTGAACGCTTATAAGGGTCTTGTCCTTGTGTTACGACAGAAGCGTGCCTGTTGAACGCTTACTGGAACAGAAATTGTTTGGTTCTTTCTCATAATAAAAATTCTGAATGTTTTTCTGGTCGAATATACATTTTTATAGTGGTAAAATGTTTCGGTAAAAAGCCTAAAATTAAACAAAGCAACAGTGCTTCATTAACAACCAGGTGATAAACCAATGATTTATCAACAATAAATTAAGAGGAGACATTTTACATATCAGCATAAGGAAAATCTATTAAAATTTTTTTTTTTTTTTTAAATTAAATTTAAAGTCATTAAAGAAAAAAAAAAAGACTTAATTTGGTACAAGTTACAGATGAATGATTTATCAAAAATAAATTAAGAGGAGACATTTTACATATCAGCATAAGGAAAATCTATTAAAAAAAAATTTTTTTTTTAAAATTAAATTTAAAGTCATTAAAGAAAAAAAAAAGACTTAATTTGGTACAAGTTACAGATGACATGTTTAGCCTTTTGCATTTGTAAGACAGAATGGGGGGAAAATAATCACTGAAATTCATCCTGGTCAGTGCTCTGAGAAATATAATCCATCTCTTCTGTGTTCGTGCACTTTACTGATCTTTTACTCTTTTAGGGGTCTTTACTGTCCAAAGCAGAACTTCACAGAGGTTCCGCATCAGATTCTTCACTCTCATCCTCCAGACTAGTTCAAGTTTTAACCAGTTCCATCAACATCTGTCTGACCGAGTTATGAGGTTTGAGCTGCAGCGCATGGAAGTAGCTGCTCTCAGCTTTCTTCATCGTGCCATTAAGATGGAGGATCGCCCCGAGATTCATCAGAGCTACTGGATGCTGGGAAATCGAGAAACAGACACAAAAATAGATAATCAGGATAAGGATGGCTAAAGAATTGTAGGTTGGTTGGTTAGTTTTAATTAATTAATGAATTAAAACAAATAAAACTGACATTCTAAAATAGTAGAAGCAACAAGTATGATGGAAGACGTTGATTTAATCTTAAAGAGCATATCATAAAATGAGGAGGTTTTTTATTAATAATTATTAAATAATTAATGCATGTAAAACAATCAATAACTTTATAACATCTAGAATGGCTAAAAAAAGTGTTTATATCAGGTCTTAAATCAGCTGCTTTCCCATAATACCTTTCAGCTGCCTCACTCAGACTTGCCTGTCTGTGGACGAATACACATATAACTATAACCTGTAAGTTATGATGAATACTGTTATTATTATAGAAGAATAATATTAATATGGTTTTAATATTAATATACTATTATTATTATTTCTTATATCAATATTAATATAGAAGAAAATACACATATCAACAGATGTTTTTCAGTGCTCTGTGATGTGTTGATACCATCTATAAAGAAAATAAAACATATATATTATGCTAATGAAGAAATGTCATAATCATAGGTTCCTGTTTAGAAGGGATATAAACCTGGAAAAAAAGTATTGGTGACCTGTCCTTTTTGGGTGGTGTCATTATAGGTCTCAGGTGTGTCATCTACACCTAAAAAATCCTGGTATTCAAACCACAGCAGTCAAAACAAACTTAAATAAGTGTACAGCAATAGCAATGGCAATTGCGTTGTACTTTAAAATCCTGTATCTGCATCTCTAATATTTTTAGGCAGACTGTTCCAAAGTTTAGGCTCTGCTACAGCAAAGGTGCAATCTCCTTTTTTGACTCAGTGTCCTTGGAATTTTGAGTAACTTCTGAGTCGCAGATCTCAAAGTTTGTACAGTCTTATATTCAATTACGAGATCTGAAAGATAGGGCGGTGTGAGTCCATGCAAGGATTTGTATACCAAATAACAGAAGTTTAAAAACAATCTTATAATAAACTGGAATCCAATGCAGGGAGACCAGGGTAGGAGTAATATGGTCACGTTTGTATTACCCATTAAGAGTCTAGCAGCAGAGTTTTGAACTTTTTGCAAATGAGAAATAGATGACTGGCTAATTCCCTTACCCATTGCAATAGTCAAGTCTTGATGATATCAAAGCATGGATCGCAATTTCAAGGTCTTTAAACGTGAAACATGATTTCATCTTTGCTAATCGCTAGATTACGTAAGTGAAAGAAACTTGACTTTACAACAGAATTTATCTGTTTGTCCAGCTTTAGAGAGCTGTCAATATACACACTTAAGCTTCGAACATGTTTTGACGTGAGATGACAAAGAGCCAAAATATAGCTGTGCTGCACCCATGGCTCCACTGGAATGGAAAACTATAATCTCGGTCTTATTTTCATTTAGATGTAAAAAATTTGAAGTCAACCATGTTTTAAGATCTAAAAGACAGGCCATAAGAGTTTCTGAACTATTTTCATGTGACCGTGGCAAATACATTTGTACATCATCAGCGTAGCAGTGAAAAGCAATATATTTCTTGAAAATATTTCCCTAAAGAATCATATAAATAGAGAATAAAATAGGAGCAAGGATGGAGCCTTGAGGCACACCACACATGATCGGTGCTGATAGATGAACAGGCCACAATATTCAATACCATGCTTCTACCAGTCAGATAGGATTTAACCCTCAATCTGTCCCTGCCCACACAAAATCGAAGGCCTGATACTAGAGCACCAATGCAATATGGAACGAGCATACTCACTCACGTACGAGTGAGTGACACACACACACACACACACTCTCTCTCTCTCTCTCTCTCTCTCTCTCACACACACACACACAGCCACCATTCACATCTGCTTATTGCAGTTTTTTTTTTTTTTTGGTGTGGTTTTTATTTGCATTTAAGTAAAATAAAATTTATTGATTTTATTTTTAGATTGAAAAAAATGTGCCTGCAATCAAGTTTTAGTGACAACTTGAGTGGCATTTCTGCAAATTTATGTGGCATTATTGCAAAAGCGGGCACTTCAAAATACCTCAAACAACAAAAACAAATACTAACCAAATACTGTTTTTAAGGTATTTTATAATGTTTCAATATATATTTACAAAATATATATCAGAAAAGTTGTGAGACGAGCAGTTAACCACTTCCAGAAAAATGAATGGATCTCTAAGGGCCTCTGCTGGATATATATGGTCATTACACTTTTTTTTTTTCAAAAACTGTAATTTCCACAAGTAACACCTAGCACCTAGATCAATATCCAGAAACAACTTAAATCAAACTTAGATCATAATTTAAGTGATTTTTTTCATGAAGATTTATGCAAGCTAATGGAGTAGTTGAGGAATTTTGTGGTAAATAGGTACAAACGTACTTCATATCTCCCAAAATCCAGCTTTAATAGTAAACAATAACATGATATATTATTTGTATGATTAAAAATTTATATATTTTTTTCAATTGCTCTTTCAATTTTGGGGTCATATTGACCCCAAAGACCAAAAGTGTAAACAGGAAACGTGAACCATTTGAGGGTTAAACCACTTCAGGACATTCCCCCGTATGAATTATATAGTTACATGAATCTGGTGTCCAGTAGTGATATCATCATTGTTATCTGGTGTGCTCTTTCACCATTTCAGTAAGCTAAGTGACTATTTTCAATTATTAGATTAATAAATAAGGTGATTTTATATTTGATGTAGATTTAAAAGCACTTTTGTTTGATTTTTAGGACCAGATTAATTCCACCACAATATAACAGTACTGTTAACGATTTAATTATGAATGTACTTTTGCTGTCAAAGTAAATTTACTTAAAAACACACAAAGAATTCAAGATTATGTCCGTATATTCTCATCACGGTCCACCTTCACTGTGCCCAAAATGAAGGATACTGCCACAGACCTGAGTCAATGTGGTAAACATTTCACTTTATCCAGCCAGTTAGAGTATGAGCCGATTCAACACCAGAACTTCCCCAGTTCTGCTATTGATTGGCTGTGTCTGAAAGCTTAGGTAGCTGATTTTTGTTCCCTGGCTGCCCTATCAGGCAATAACTTTGCAGGCGTTTACACATAGTACCTCACAAAATTGATTTCAGACAGACATTTGAGGCAGTATAACAGTTTAATGATGTACAAGACAATAGAGAGAGCTTTGGTGATAACTAAGCGAATATTTAATTACTGCAATACTAATTTCTTGCTTGACATTACAGCAAATGTGGAAAAGTTTAAAAAAACAAAAACAAAAAAACATACATTTACACACAAACTGACCACCAAAGTTTAGAAGATGTGTTTTTTTTTTAGCTCAACCGGCACAAAATTGAACATACAGGATAGTGGGATTACCAATGACAGCAAAGGATATTGAATTTAAGTTCATTTAAAGTGGATGAAAACAAAACTGTGAGAGGCAGACTTACAGTCTTTACAATGGCATTTACTGTATATAAATGCCCTAGATAATGTATTCACAACTCACAACTTTCAAAACTGTTTTATGGAGCTTTTTTCTACTAAAAGTTTTCTGCATAAAGACTTTCATCAGACAAGAAACCGGTATGTTGTTAAACAACAGTACAATCATTTGAGTGCACTTCTGTACTTCTATCCTTCACAGTCGTTTTCATTTCAGGCAAAAGCAGATCAGATAAAAATGTCTCAGCAGGACCAGATGTGTCCACAATCATTGGATGTGTTTTGTTCTGAAGGCAGCATTTTTCAGCTTTCAGACCATAAACTTTAAAAAAGGACATGTCTATTTTCTTCCACTGTAGAAAAATGAAGCCAAACTATCCCAGAAATGGCTGCTGTCATCCTGCGTTGATGACGTCATATGAAGCCTGAGTCTGCGCAGTAGTGATTGTAAAGTGGAGCAGTAGTATAAAAGTCCCGCCTAATCTCCCAAAGACTCAATCACAAGCACACAATCATGTCGCCACACCCTGTTTTTATAGCATCAATAACTAAAACCAAACTTATTATACATCCGTTTGATAAAAACGATGTAAAACGACTCTCTTTGGTAAAAAAAAATATTTGAAGTGTAATTTGATATTTTTGTTTGGCTCATGGGGCGAGGGTTCTGCAATACTGCAGTCAGCCACCAGGGCAATCAAAATGTTTTGGCATCACTTTTGACGATCCACAATGGCACACTTGGTCCACAATGGCACACTTCATGTGCACTTGCAGTCTTGCAGACTTTCAGTGGTTGCCGTGTGTTCGTTAAATCCATAAGACCTTAGGGTGTCCCATTTGTCATTTCAACTTTTAGAAGGGTGCTTGTGAGCGCCCCATTTGTGGCCGCTATGTGCCCTCGATGCGCACTTCTGCCGAGCCCGCACTGAGGCCTGCTCTGCAGCAGACTTTTACCCAACAGTCAAAACGGCATTACGTCACAAATGTGTGGATTCAGAGGAAGACCGTGAGGGTTTAGGGTGCGATTTGGGACAGGGCCGTTATCACAGTAAATGTATTAATACTTGTACAACACCACTCAAAACTTACACAAGCATCCTGTTGGTTATAATGTTTTCATTCTTAAACAACCATAAATGAACAAAGCTTAGAAAAAAAAAAATGCTAACGTAAATAAGCACCCAATTTCTTTATTTGGTTTAATTAGATAAGACAGAACAGGGTATTGGCTCCAACTTAAAGTAAGGGATAGAGCACAGAATTAATGTTTACTAGAAAAAAAAATTTAAGTAGCATGACTTTATTCATTTATCATGCATGTTTGTTTATGATAGTTAAAATGTGAATGTTGAAGAAAAAAAGAAAAGTAGAAGCAAAGAAATGGTACTATGGCAATTTTAAACTTGTGTAAAGCAATTGATTTTTACGAAATGCAAGCTAGTGAACTCATCAGTAAAAACTAATTTAAAACAAAAAGCTATAAGATCATTTAAACCCAGCTCTAGAAGCTGTAAAATTGTGATTTCATGAAAAAACGAAGCAATGGGTGTGGCCTCCAAGTCATGCATCCCCACCCTCATTTTTTGACTCCTCCCCCCACATAATCATAGTCTGTTATTAAAAAACAAAAGTAAATATATAATCTGAAATGTTGTATTTAATATTTAAAATTATTTAAAGGAAAAAAGGAAACAAAGACTTACTCAACAGGTTTCTGTCATCTTCATTGCTGTTCTTCACATCATCTTACTCCTCCTAAACTCTCCCTCTGATACACGTGAAATAAAACCTCACATTGTAATGTGTAACACAGCTTGTGTCATTGATCTCTTTCTCCTCATGACTGTCTGAGACTATTAGATTAAACTTGATAAAATCATCATGATTAATTTATATTGAATACATCATAAAAACAAAATGTGATTTTCTGTGACTCACCCCTTACACCTTGAGAGTCCTGTCCATTAATGATGACTACAACATAATTCTCTGTTATGTCCAATACATGCACATGGGCGTAGAGACAGAACAAATGTTGCATTTTTTTTTTTTTTTGGTACTGAGCATCACATTAAAGGTACTCAGTTAGAAAATGCACTTTAAAAAAACAATAAGTAAAAATTCCTTTAAAGGGATAGTTCACCCAAAAATGAAAATGTTATGTTTATCTGCTTACCCCCAGGGCATACAAGATGTAGGTGACTTTGTTTCTTCATTAGAACACATATGATGATTTTTAACTCCAACCGTTGCAATCTATCAGTCGTATAATGCATGGCAATGGTAACAAAATCTATGAGAGTAAAAAAAACATGCACAGACAAATCCAAATTAAACCCTGCGGCTCGTGACGACATTTGTCGGCTTGTGATGATATCATCACTGCTACAAGGTGCGTCTTCTACAAATTTAACATGAGACAGGTACCACCATACAGTATATGTTCTTAATATATTCATATATATAATTTTTAATGTATAGATTATAGAATAACATACATAATTACAATTATGTACTTATTATTATAGTACAGAACTGCACCTGTCTCATGATCTGGATTCAGTCCACCAGTAATGACATCATAGTATTCTAGTGGTGTTTCATTCACCCTCTCTTCAACATCAAAACAAAATAGTTTTAGAAATAAAATGTTATTGCTGTTGCCATGAGGCCATTACCATTTTAATCATGTAGTGAATGATATGACCAGTTTATAAGACAAGAATATACTGTAATCGAAAGGTTTCAGAGACAAACACGCACGCACGCGCACACACACACACACACACACACACACACACACACACACACACATATAAACATGCCCCTGCAGCTCTGTGGTTTTCTGTCAGGAATTCTGTGGTTTGAAGCAGGAGGTTTAACAGGACTAATAATAGATGAACATCAACTGTCTGACAGACTCTTATTAATGCTATTAAATGAGATTGATGGCTCATGTCTCACCCCTCTGAGTGAAGTGATTGTGTCTGTGCTGAATCTCCTCATAAACGGCCTCAGTCGTCGTCCTGTGTCTCCTCTTAGAGAGAGCTGTGAGTGTAGACAGACAAACCTGCTGTCAGTTCACAACACATGACTGATCACACACTGAATAAGACACAATATGACAGTCTCTGGATCTCTCCTACCTCTCCTCATCACTCTGTTCTGCTGAATCAGTATAAGCAGTGGCACTAAGAGCAGTAAGAGCACAACTCCCAGAACAATCACAAGCACTGGGGGGACGGAGAGAGACGCTGCTGGAGGAGAAACTGGAGAAGGGGGGGACTCAGTACTTTTCCTTTTCAGGTGGTTTTTATGATTTCATCTTCATTGCAGTCATTCTGTCCCCAGGGGGAAGACGGACTGCCACAGATTTGAATCATGTGGTCGACATGTTACTTTATCCAGCCAGTTAGGAGCTGATTTCACTCTTGTTGTAGAAGCAGACAAAACACCAGATCTTCCACAGTTCAGCTCTTGACAGATCAGACTCACTGTGTCTCTGTCCATCTGGTTTCAACACAAATGCTCTGTGATCTATGTCTGATCTGAATGAGCAATCAATAGATCTCAACTTCAGTAACATGATTTATTTGAAAACATTTAGGTTTTCATTTGGTCAAAACAAATATGGCAGATATGTTCAGATGACATTTTTATGGACATATGCCTATAAGTAAGCATTAAAAAAGCCGTAATTAATAGATAAATAATCAATCAATCGATCAATCAATCAATCAACTTGCAATCTTATGTTTCAAGCAGGGATGCTGATAGAGAGGCAAAAGTTTCGTACTGCAGTTTTAATAAAGAGATACATTTTCAGGAACTTTGTCATCATACATTATTCATGTCTAAATAAAATGTTTAATCTTTGAAGAAACTCTAAACCTCAGAAAAGAGAAAATCTTTTTTTTTTTTTGCTAAATGCACTCATAAGATAAATACATTTAAAATACATTTACAAAAAGAGTTGTGTGCAATAATCTTTCATTTCAAAAGTATATAAAAGCATGTTGGTCCTTTTGATTGTAGGGGCTTCTGACCCTCAGAAACTCACAGCATGATTACCCTGAGCTGGAAACCTTTAGTGATATAATAGAGCTTTTAAGATTATCACAGAAACTTGAGAATACAAGAGAACAAATTAAACACCCTGTCTGTTTTATGAATTTATTCTATATTTTTTCCAGTTTGTTTGCTGCATGTTTTGAATTGATGTCCATGTTATCTATTAATGTCTATTAATTGTAAAAGCAGAACACTTTGTCTAAACGTAATTGATTTGGTACATTCAACATTTGGCACATTCAACACTTTTAAGTGTAGAGCACTTAAAATATAACAGGATGTGAGGCAGTGGGTGTAGTCACTGAATTAAACAGTCCCTCCCAGTTTTCCTGGCTCTTCCCTCAAATAATCATAGTCTGCTGTTTGAAAGCAAGAACAAATGTTTGCATTGCATTAGAATTTTTAGATAATAAAACTAGACATATTCAGAGTGACGTAAAGCAAAATAACATACCAAACAAATCTCGCACATCTTCGCTGAAATTCCTCACATCGTCAGATTCTTCCAGACCTCCCTCTGATATAAATGTATCAATCATTAAATGAACAAAAATAATACTGCATTCACAAAATTCAATATATTATATAAAAACTATTATATATGAAGTCTATATAATTCGTAATTTAACACTATAATAAAAAAAAAGAAAAACACTTTACCAGACTATTTAAGTTAAATCTGTGACCCACACCTGCATGATTAATGGAAAACTGCCTTATGATGACAACATCATCATAGCTTTCTGATACGTCATCTGCAACAAAATAAAGAAAAATAAAATGTGACAACCAAAAGACAAATAATTTACAATAATATAATAAAATACACATAATATACATGCATAGTCAAATAATATTAATAATTAAAGAAATAAACCTGTAGCATGATGTCTCAAATCAACAGTGATTATATCATCATAATTCTCGGGTGTGATTTGTTGCTCTTCTAAATGAGTTAAAAGCAAAAGAGGGGGAAAAAAACAAAACATATTTTACAGTTCAAGGCCCCAGTAGGTTAACTAAGTTAATTTAGTGAAATCTTGTGATCAGTTCAACATTCACTGACCTGTTGGGCCTGTAGTGGTGGTGACGTCATTATAGTAGTCAGGTGTGTATAATAAAATAAATAAATAAATAAAATTGCAATGAACATTAAAAATAACAAAGAAAAAATGTTATATAAAAAATATAATTAAATATTGTTTATTATTATCTCTACATTGGAAATTTTGTTTGTATTTTTTATATTCAAGATATATAACATTGAATAATGTTAACTTGCTAAGTAAATTTGTTTCAATTATTTTCACGTTTCTGTATGTAACATTTTTACATTTCATTCCTCTAACCTGAAAGAAACTCATCAGCTTCTTCATACCCAGAGTACTGTTCTTCAGAAATGACACTTCCTGTTATTGGGAAGCAGAATATTAGAAATATGTTTACAATCAAAAACATTTGTATAATATAACACTAACCCTATATCATTTCAAATGACACACACAAGGTCCCACAAATGAATCAGTGTGATTTACTCCACTCACCCCTCTGAAAAAAGTGATGACCCTGATGATCTCAACACATCAGACACTATGACAGTTACTCACCCCTCTGAATGAAAAGACCGTGTCTATTAATGGGTCTGTGCTGAATCTCCTCATAAATGGCCTCAGTCGTCGTCCTGTGTTTCCTCTTAGAGAGAGCTGTGAGTGTAGACAGACAAACCTGCTGTCAGTTCACAACACATGACTGATCACACACTGAATAAGACACAATATGACAGTCTCTGGATCTCTCCTACCTCTCCTCATCACTCTGTTCTGCTGAATCAGTATAAGCAGTGGCACTAAGAGCAGTAAGAGCACAACTCCCAGAACAATCACAAGCACTGGGGGGACGGAGAGAGACGCTGCTGGAGGAGAGACTGATGTTGAGCGCACTGGAGGAGAAGCTGTTGTTGTTGTGGCAGGAGTAGAGGACACTGACACATCTGTAAAATCTGTCAAATACACAAACACATTCAAAATCATGATTGTCTTAAAATGATCTAAAATGAATACTATTTGTTTGTATTTTGCTGTGACCTGCACAGATGAGTCCAGCGTGCTCTTTGTGGGAGCAGTCAGTGTGGTTATTCAGGGAGAGAGGACAGTCCCACAGGTGAATCTCATTCCCTCTGCACTCGACTCTGTTCAGCCACACAACACCTTCACCAGCACCAAAGACTGAATTCCCATCAGCCCTCAGTGCTGCTCCACAACCCAGCTGCCTGCAGACCACCTGAGCATCGCTGATGTCCCACTGATCATCACAGACTGAGCCCCACACAGCGTTATGATACACCTCCAGCCTCCCAGAGCACCGGCCCTCCCCTCCACTCAGTCTGAGAGGAACATGATCTAAATTCACAGACAAGACGACACATTTTTGGCCAACAGAGTTATGTCAGAACAGAGGCAGCTACATGCCTTGAGATCAAATTGCACTATCAACTTACATTGCATATAGCTCTCATGATTTTATGCTCCATCAAATTAAATTACCTGAACACTGTCTCTGGTAGGAAGATGCAGAGCATGTCAAATAGCTACGAGGGGACTCATGACTCTCCTGTTCTGTAATTATAAATGAAGTCAATATATTTTACACTTATATTTTTTATTCTATATGGATTGCTGTAATAATTTTTCAGGCACAGAATTTTGTCTGCATCGGTCTTACCCGAGCAGGTGATTTTGGCCACTTCATCTCCATCACAGTCATTTTGTCCCCACGGTAAAGATGGACACTGCCACAGATTTGAATCATGTGGTCGACATTTCACTTCATCCAGCCAGTTAGTAGCTGATTTCACTCTTGATACTGAATCAGAAAAATCACCAGATCTTCCACAGTTCAGCTCTTGACAGATCAGACTCACTGTGTCTCTGTCCATCTGGTTGTAACACACATTACCCCAGGATCCATTGTAGAAAACCTCCACATTCCCTTCACAGCCCTCAGTTAACCTGATTTCCTTAAAATCTTGAAGGAAATGAAAACAAATATTATTATAAAATCCCAAAATGTAAAAAAAATAAGTTTAATTAAAAATACAACAGTCTACTCTTTACCTGAGCACACAACTCCAACATCCTCCTTGTGCTGACAGTCATGTTTTCCCCAGCCTGGAGAAGAGCAGCTCCACAGGGATGTCTCATTCCCCTCACACTCCACCTCATCCAGCCATATGGGTCCAGAACCAGGACCAAACCAGGCTGGTACCTGCTGGTTACTGAGGGCCACTCCACACTGCAGCTGTCTGCACACCACATGAGCATCTTTAATATCCCAGGAGTCATCACACACTGTCCTCACACTGTCTCTCTCCAGACAACTGCACCAGACCGTCAGGAAGAGCAAGAGGGGAATCTGAGGAGATGTGGCATTTTACTAAGATGTTTCAAGATATTGCAATATGTATTCAACATTTTTGCTCAATAAAATCCCCTCACTAGAGCAGATGACTCCAACATCTCGAGTATGAGAACATTTAGCTCGACTCCATGAAGAGATGGAACATTCTGAGAGTTTTGTTTCATTCCCATCACAATCAAACACATCAGCCCAGATTTTAGCACTTCCTTCTCCAAACCAGTCTGATCCCACAACAGACACAGCAATCCCACAATTCAGCTGTCTACAGAGGACACTGGCAGCTCTCATATCCCAGCATGCATCACACACTGTGCCCCACTCATTGAAGAACTGAAGCTCCACTCTTCCAGAACAAGAGTCTGAGCCATTTACCAGTCTGAGATCAGTGTAACCTGGACAAACAACTTTTGTCATTACAAAGCCCATTATAAAAACAATATCTATCATATAACATATGTTGATTGAGAAAATTATATTTTTTATGTGTGTGATGTAAAGAGGGGTCAAAAAAAATTATAACCATTCAGTTACAACTCAAAACATAAACAACTTATTTGGATACATTTTGCAATATAATATATTTTAAGGTACACTCTCAGAATAAAATACAAAAGCTGTCACTGGGGCAGTACCTTTTATAAAGTTTTTACACTTTTGTACCTTTAAGGTAACAATATGGACCCTTTAGGTACAAAAGTGTGCCTTTTGAAATGGTACCGCCCCAGTGACAGCTTTTGAACTTTATGTGTATAGGTTATCCAAAATTTTAAGTTCTTTCATCATTTACTCAACCTCCAAGTCTTCCAAATTTGTATGAGTTTCTTCTGTTGAACACAAAAGTATATATTTTGAAGAATGTTGGTAACCGAACAGTCGATGGTAGCCATTGACTTCCATAGTACTTTTTTCATTACAATGGATGTCAAGGCCTACCGTCAACTGTTTGGTTACCAACATACAGGTTTGGAACAACTTCAGGGTGAGTAAAGAATCACAGAATTTTCCTTTTTGGGTGAACTATTACTTTAAGATTGATTATAATAAATCTTACATTACAAATAAATGAAGACCCTGAATATTGATTATTTACCAGAACATTTCAAGCCCACATTATTGTCACTGCTGCAGTTGTGTCTGTGTGATGATATTGAACAGAATGAAATCTGAGATTCATTTCCTCTGCACTGAATCTCTTGTGTCCACATCTGAGTGTCTCCTTTGCCAAAAGCAGCTGCTCCCAGCACCTGTACAGGAGCCCCACAGTCCAGCTCTCTACACACAACCTCTGCATCCTGCTGGTCAAAGGCAGCGTCACACACTGACATCCACGTCTGATCATGAAGTATCTCTAACCTCCCAGAGCACAGGTGAAATCCAGCAGCAAGTCTGGAAGGCTTATGACCTGTTTATATTGCATGAAGCACAGTGCACAGTAGAGAAAACACACACATAATACAGACGTAATGCAGATAAAACATGTAACAATACAGCTATATTAGTATACAA